ACTTTTTAGAGCTAAATGTGGGTTCTAGATATCAGAAGATCTCTCCAGAACTAGAAATAAAAATGTGTCTGATAGGGTAAACAAGGAAATGTGGTTGCGGGGTTGAGAAAAATAAAGCATTTGTGAGATAGCAAACATGGCTAATGGGGTGTATGATTGGGCAGGTTCTGTGGGTTCTAGATATCAGAAGATCTCTCCAGAACTAGAAATAAAAATGTGTCTGATAGGGTAAACAAGGAAATGTGGTTGTGGGGTTGAGAAAAATAAAGCATTTGTGAGACAGGAAACATGGCTAATGGGGTGTATGATCGGGCCGGTTCTTGAGAATTTAGAAGATATGCAATGATAGCATAAAAAGAAGGGACTGGCAAACACATGATAGGATGGAAAACATAGAGTACAGTCAATAAAAGTGAATGGAGTAAAAGACACAAATAAGGATTCCACATATAGAGGATGAGCTGAAACAAATTGAAAGGGGTTAAAAAAAACAGTGAGCAAAGACAGTAAGAGGGTTGTGACAGATGCAGATATGGGTAAAATGTATGTTAAGAAATGTGTGATGTAAAATGCTGCTAAATCTACTAATTTGTAGTAAAAAATATATACTAGAGTGTACATGCTTTGATGAGGTAGAGCTCATTAAAGGGCACCTATAGTCACAAAAAGAATAATCGTTTTCTATCAGTGTGAGCACTGTACCCACCTCCATTAAAGTGAAAAAGTTAAGTTAAAGATTACTTACCTAGTTTCCAGTGCCACTGCACTCACCCATTCTGCTTCCCTTTTTCTCAGCATACCTGCTGTCTCTTCTATATTCTTGTATAATTGAATTCTTCTCACAGAGAAGCATTGGGAACGAGATAGACATGCATGGGAAAATACCACTCTCAAATGCTACTATGAGTTTGACTCTATTCCTGAGATGGAAGTGCATTTAGTAGCTATCAGAAAAACAGCCACTGGAGGTATATTGAACCCTTCAACTTAAACATTGCAGCTTCTACAAAATGGCAGTGTTTTACATTGACGGGTTAAAAAAACAGGGCCACTGCACATAGACCACTTTATGGAGATGAGGTGGTCTGGGTACCTTTAGTAGTCCTTTCATGATGTTCCAGAGTATTCATTATTAAAATGGATCTATGATCTCTCCAGTAGTGAAGGTTTTCATTCTTTGTCCAGGTGAAAATCTCATAAAAAATCTGTCATTGAAAGATGCATTTTGGCTTTTACAAGGAGATCAGTTGGCTAAAGATAATAATAATAACAACAAAACATTTAGTAACCAGGAAAGGTAAATTCAGATTACTCTAGTTTTCAAGTACGTCTTGGGGATGTTATCTTAGCCCAACATCCAGGGTTGTTACTATTACCCAATTTAATGGTACTCATTTTATCTACCTTGGAAGGATGAAGAGCTGAGTCAACCCTGCCAGGATTTGAACCTGCAAACCAAGGGTTGAACAGATTCTCCTAATGATGCATTAACCCACTGAGCTATCAAGATATAAACATTTTAAGCAATTCTGCGTGTCTTTCACTTATACCAAGTATTTTATGTTTTTGTGCTGCATATTTTGTGTATACTTGTTAACAAAGTTAATTGTTGGCTGTGTATTGTCTTACAGAAAAATGCTTTGAGTGACACTTTGGACAATGTTAATGCACAATACTCCGCCCAGTTATCCAATATACAAGCAATGATCACCAATTATGAGAGTCAACTGGTACAAATCAGAAGTGACATCGGACGTCAGACTCAAGAATATGAACTCCTCCTGAACATAAAGCTCCGTCTAGAAATGGAAATTGCCACCTACCGTCGTCTACTCGAGGGAGAAGATGAAAAGTGAGTACTGAAGTTTATTTTTCATATCTTACAGGTACACTGTAGGCACCATTATATTTTCAACTCATTGATTTGGTTATAGAGCCTGTTCTCCCCTTTATTGTCCCTCCATTCAATGTTAAACCATTTTTGTGAAGTTTTAACAATAAATAAGAGTCCCTGGCTGCCCTTAACCCAGCCCCAACTGGAGGTATGACTAAGGCAGAGATTACACACTTCCTGGCAATCATAATGATTTCTAACTGCAAAATCATTGTGGTAGGCTGTAATCGGTCTGCTGACACACTTAGCCAATTACAGTCACCCATTGCTGCTCAAGCTAATTATTCCACATCAGCCAAGGCAGCACAGAATGGATTGGTTGCTGGGAACACTTGTTTAGCATTAAAACATTACATACAGTTAAATAGTGAATGGAAGGACAGTGCCAGGTGACTCTTGACACAATAACCACTTCAATGAGATGAAGACGTAACAGTGACTGCAGTGTCCCTTTAATATTCTAATACTAAACAAGGATAAGTTCAGTTAAAAGAAGTCTATAAAAAACTCAACTGATGTAGACCAATCCTTTTGTAATTATTATGGGTCATGATTTGCACATTTGTATGTATATGTGTCTAATCCTAACAAATACAGTTTCAATTATATATTGTTATGGTGATGCCATAATACACTAGGAGAACACAACTATGCAGAATGACTACATCAAAAGCTTCAGATATATCACAAGGCTTGTAATATATTGAGGTGTAGACATGTTGATTTGCTAAATAAAAGGGGTATGTATTAGTAAAGGGGACTAATTTAGGACTAAATATAATAAGACCAATCTCTTGTAGTGTTACAAAATATAATAAAATTTTGTAGACATGTATTTAATATGTACATTCTCTGATTTTACAGTTGGCAGCTTGAATTAGAAGACAAACTGAGAGGTATGGTTTCAAAGCATATTGATTTTTCCATTATTTTTAAGTTTCTTTAATATTTTTATACACGTAAAAACACATTTTATTAAAGTCCATCACTATTACCAATGCATTGTATTTATTTTTTATTTATTTTAATATTTTTAGAAATTTAATATCTGGCTAATGAGGATCTCTGTGGTTCTACATATCAATTAGAGACTCCTTTCATGCCAATAGGCAGCCTTCTTCAATACTCCTAAATTTTGCAATTCAATAAATAGAGCATCTTATTCTAATTTTAACTACAATACCTCCTCACAACTAAATTACTGTGTTGTTATAGTATTTCCCCTTTTATAAATCTATACAGTGAACATGACAATTGGTTCCACAGGCAGATCCTTAGTTACCTTTGAAATGCAATATGTGATCTGAATTTGTCTTTACTTAATAAAGAAAAAATTACATGAATTAATTAAATGTGCAGTAGTTGTATGAGTACGACAAGGTTTATGAGAACTAATGGATTAATTGCACATTCTACAAAAGACAAATTTCTCAAATTCTTCAGTAGATGAATAACTTAGTATTTCATTTGGATGCACAGATTATATTTTCATTTGACTCTTTTTAGAATAAAAATACAACATTCTACAATGACAGTTGCTTACTTATACTATATAAAGGAACCATGTGACCTACATGGTATTAACCCTAAATTATGAATGAAAGTAGCCATAAAGGTAGTTTTAGACCAAAAAGTTCCCACTTGCAAAAATAATGTAGACATATGTAACAACAGCAAAATGCTCTACTTATTTTTTTTTTAAAGTTCTATATTTAGAAACCTTGACAAGGTTATATGGATCTAAAACGATTAACGCCTAAAAAAAGGAATATTGAACTGAGGCTACTTACCTGTTGTTTTGAACTACAACTTGCATTATCTTCTGGATGCCGATGGTGATAGTAGAAAATTAAGGAAGTTGTAGTCCAGCAGTAGCTGGAATGTTGAATTTCAGGATAGGAAAGGAAGGTCAATACGGGATCTGGGTCGGAATGTTGTGCATCTTCACTGAATGCTATATCACAAACTTTATTTGTGTCTCGTTCACTTGAGAGATGTTCCGACTTGTCTTGTATGTTAATAGATTCCAATTTTCTTCTTTTAGAACAAAACAGAAGTCGCAAAATTAAGACAATTGTAGAAGAGGTTGTTGACGGTAAAGTTGTCTCATCTGAAATCAAAGAAGTGGAAGAGCATCTACCAAGTGTCCTTGTGCCTCACAAATAAGGACAATATTTGCGTGGCAAAAAACATATTTTCTTATAGCTGTTATGGCAAAACATTATAAATAAAAATTAGCACATTGAGTTTGTGTTGTATTTATTTTTTTAATTGCAAATGGATGCAAGTGTAGTTCATGTGTATAGCGCAAAACAGCGATAGCCAGATACCATTGGTCAAAGAGTTGCGTATAGAAGAATCTGTAAAGGAAACAGGGGTGACTAGTCCATGACTTGACATCCAGACCTGTCCCACTACATAGTTTGCCCCTTCATTTCTATTACCAAGGACCATCTAGTACTTCTGCAATGATTCTTCAGGTATTGCCCTCTATCCACTGGACTGGTAGGTATTATTATCCCCTCTGCCTACTCCTATTTCCAAGAAAGTATTGTCCCCACTGCCTACTCTTTCTTTATAACAGCAAACACTGTCTTTACAAAGACACGTTTGCCTCACAGGCCATGCTGACTAAGTTCACTGCTAGCAGGTCTGAAGAGTCAGCACCAACACCCCCAATAACAAATACAACTCTTTGCCTCTTGGAAACTCATATACACTTTATTTCACACAAGGAATAGGCTCTGGCAGCTCTCCATTCTACTCATGGAGGTATTCTTAAAATAATATACTTAAATAAAAAAGGCAGGGAACAAGCAATATATAGCACAGTAAAATATAAGTCTGCACGAACGTGTTAGAGAAAGCAGGAAAATGCAGACACTAAATTAAAAAGTCTAAAGGACATACTAAGTAAATAAATGCACATATGTATATTGTACAGATCAAATAGCAAGGGATTTTCACACAATAGTATTAACAACAAAATAAATAGAAACAACCTCAATGAAGGTCATATTATCTGATTCAGCTTATCAACAGTACAAATTATTATTATTATTATTATTATTATGATATTTATAGAGCGCTGTCAAATTATGCAGCGCTTTACAATGGGTGGACGAACAAACATGTAGTTGTAACCAGACAAGTTGGACACACAGGAACAGAGGGGTTGAGGGCCCTGCTCAATGAGCTTACATGCTAGAAGGAGTGGGGTAAAATGACACAAAAAGGTAAGGATAGTATTAGACTAGTGACAGTTGCAGAAGAGGAATCGGTCAGGAGCTATTAACAGTTTAATGTGTAATTTGGGGTAACTGTAGAGGAGACAGGACCATAGACGATCATTGTGGAGGCAGAGAGACCAACAATCATCATGAAACTAGGGAATCCATGAGTCTTCAGGATCAGCCCATTCCCCAGGATGACTTAGGCAATGGTACTCAGTATTGCTATAATAGAGGTTGATTTAATACTTTCACAAACTGGTACTGCTTATTTGGATGTCATTTGTCAATGGAGTACTGCATGATAAAATTCGACAAATATGCTTTATTGTGTATTAATATAAAATGATTGCATTTGAAATTAAAGCAACGTTTCTTAAATAGTTTGTTCTATTTTTTAATAATTAAAAAAACATGTTTAGTACTTGTGTTTTTTTAGTGGTGTGCAATTCAATACAAATTAAATATAAAATATTAAAATTAAAATAAAAACAGTCACTTCCAAATTCCCTGTTATTGGAGGGCTCAGATCTGTGTTTTCACCATTAGAGACCTACTCAAGACTTCCTTGTGGTCACGGAGTGCAGATTAAAATAATTGCTTGGGCAAATGGTTATGGCATTGACAAATAGTTATATTCTATAAAGCACCAAAGATGGATGATTAACAATAAACCCTTATCTGTGTTTCTCTGCAATAAAACTACAGATTAGTAACCTGAGTGCCAATGTCCCATGTGGTAAACCTTATATGGAACCTGCCACCACTAGTCTGAAACACACTCGCCAGCCATGATCTCCTTACAGAGGTGGTTGTTACGCTTCTGTAACACCCACCTCTGGTCCACCTTCACTCATTCTGCGATCTTCACTGATTTGCCCTGTTTGAGGATGCCTGCAGTGGTTATAGTGTCTGTGTCCTCTTGTGTCATCCCAATATTAACCTGTCGAAACACATATGAATGGTCCAACACTGAACTGGCTCTGTGAGTTGTGGAAGTTTATGCTTCAGAAGTTCTTACTTCCAGATCTGGACATACTTCATTGGTTGAGAGTGCCAGCCGACTCCACATCCAATGAATAATGTCCAACGTTAGTATGCATCAATATTGTAAAGAGGAGGTAAGATTGTCAACTTTAGCTTAGCAAGGACAACTCAAAGGATGGCAGGCACCTGACACTAGATAAGTGTCAAACTGTTTATAAACAGTCTGACAACTTACACTGGGATGATACCATGGGACTTCTCCTGCCACCATAACCACCACACTGCACTGTAGTGGTTATAGTGCTTATAATATCAGATAGTACAGCTATACAAATGTTAAAAAAATCTAACTCAGCATATATATTTAATGTATTAGCAAATTTTTTGTGAGATCAAAAAGTGATGCAAACCTCTCCAATGATTAACATGAATTTTCAGATATACTTCTGTGCAGCATGTGTATGGCATAAAACAAAGAAAATGAGAAAATATTTATTCCAGTACACTGGAGAAAACTGCTTTGTATAGTATCTTCAAACAGTTACTTGTTAATGATAAACCAATGGAATTTTTGGGATGCTGTCTGTTAATAATTTAACTAAGGACAATTCTATGCTTGTAGCAATTCATTAAAAGTAAATACTTGTAGTCTAAAAATCGTGTTACGCATGGTGACTTGACTTGAGAAGATCCCAATATGAAAACAATATGAGCCATGAGCTTTCATTGTCTGGATAGGGTTATCAAAGTGAAATACTGAACATTCTCAAATTCCATGTTATCTAAAAATTAAGTTTGTCATTACAAGAGCAGATCAATGACCCTTCGGAGAAGATATTCAAGGCTGTTGTGGTATGTAAGCAAGCTTATCAGTATTTAAATATTAGTCAGAATAGAAGAACGGTCTTCTTTTCAGGTATATAAGGGGGACTGAATCAAGTATAAAATAGTTTCACTGCAACAGTTCTAGCTTGGTTAGTCTTTTGTTAACGTTTCAAATATAATGTTTGGCCAAGTCAAGAAGGTTAGCTCATTCAAGGCTGGACATGTACAAGCCAGCAGAACAAGTGGAGGAAGCTACAGCAAAATATCTGTCGGTGGATATGCATCTAGTGTCTATGCAGGGGCCGGTGGTTTGGGAACAAGGATTTCTACCAGTGCACAACATGGAGGGTACCAGAGAGATATGCCAATCAGTGGTAACGAGAAGGAAACCATGCAGATTTTAAATCATCGTCTGTCCAGCTACCTGGAGAAGGTACGGTCTTTGGAAAAAGCCAATGCTGAACTAGAGTTACAGATTCGAGACTGGTACAGCAGCAATGCAATACGTAAGGATCGAGATGACAACCCTTATCAGCAAACTATAGAAGATCTGAAAGGCAAGGTAATATTTCCTCTTAAGAACAACCCTTTTGATAGCCTCAATATTCAACACCTTATTGGATTTATGTTCCAGGGTTAAAAGCATAACTAGTGTTTATTCAGTGTATGGTATTGATTTTACACCAGTTATACAACATAATATATCGAGAAGAACATTTAAATACACAAGTCCATTCTCATCCAAAAGATGGTCTTTCTCTGCTTCTCCTAAAAAAGAAACATCGTTCAAAATATTTAATGTTTATGAGTTATAGGGTAGAACCTGAATTTAGCATTAATGAATTAATTAAAGTAATCGTTGAGCATACCTTACCCATTGCATGTGTGAATGTATATTTTGGAATGTTAAGGTGTGCCTACAAAAAGATATAGCGCATATTGGAGGTAATGGTATAGCTTAATAGCATAGTAAAAGTTATTAGCTATAATTTAATTTTGTTAAAATATTTTTTTTTGTAAAACACTCCTCAATATGTCTGCATTTATAATACAATTCTGACACAGCCTGGTATTTAAAAAAATGCAGTTCCACAAATCTCTGCACAAAACCCATAAATGCACAGGGGCACTCGGTAAGCCCAGAAGTATATTGGGCACTGGACATACGTTTGCGAGCACATTGCACCTCACCTGAGTAAAAAGAACCGCCCACCATAAATATGGATTTATTTGTTTTGCTAATGCCTTTGTTACTATATAATTTCATTTTTTATAACAATTGTAGTTGTAGTAAAACAATTGAAGTTCAGAAATTGTAGTTAAAGGAACACTATAGTCACCTAAACAACTGTAGCTTAATGATGCAGTTTTAGTGTATAGATCATGCTTCTCAGGTTTCACTGTTCAATTCACGGCAATTTAAGAGTTAAATCGCTTTGTTTCTGTTTATGCAGCCCTTGCCACACCTCCCCTGGCTCTGATTAACAAAGCCAGCATGAAAAAAACAAACTGTATTCACTTTCAATCAGATGTAATTTACCCTAAACAATTGTATCTCTTTCTCTGTAAATTGAACTTTATTCACATACAGGAGGCTCTTGCAGGGCCTAGCGAGCTATTAACATAGCAGGGAATAAGAAAATCTAAATTAAACAGAACTTGCAATAAAGTAAGGATAAACTTTAGATGACTCTTTACAGGAAGTGTTTAGGAGGGCTGTGCAAGTCACATGCAGGAAGGTGTGACTAGAGTTCATAAACATAGTGATTTAACTCCTAAATGACAGAAGATTGAGCGGTGAGATTGCAGGGACATGATCTATACACCACAACTGCTTCATTAAGCTAGAGTTGTTTTGGTGACTATAGTGTCCCTTTAAACTGTAGATTAAAATAACCCATGTAGAGTATATCACATAATGCATTATTGCATATTACTTGTGCAATCAAAATAGACGAAATTGGAAGAAAGAATGAGAAGAAGGAAGTGATAAAGGGTGCATTCTTATTTAGTTGGATTATATTTGAAGGCCTCCACAGATCACACACAAAATGCTATTGCTATGGAATCCTCATTATATGCTGTAACATGAATTTATTATGAAGAAGGATATTTGCAATAGCAGATACAAAATTGTGTCACTCTCTGCTTACAGATTCTAGAAATTCCCTTCTTAATGTATATATATCTTCTCAAGGGTTTTGGAATCCCCCTTCATCATGACAGTCCTGGTAACTGGCCAACGACCTGACATGAAATGATTAATAGGCTCTCACACTCTCTCACACATTCTTTTAATGTCACATAGTTATTAAAATGACATACATTTTTTTTTCATACTTTAATGAAATGTGAAACAATATAAAGTTGTTTTCCTATATTGGGCATTTATCACAAAAAAGTCCTTTCACTTTCTAGTTTTATATATTAAGAAAAAAATAAGCTCCAATATTCTTGATGGATAACATGTGAGGAATGCATTCAATACTAACTTTATGAGTGACACAGGACATACCCAAGAGATTTTATTATGAGATCTGTATGTACCAGGCTAACTGTGGGTGCCTTATTAGTCACCCAGCCCTGTAAAACCTAAATAGGTAGCAGGAATGACATGCACAAATTGTAGATCTTTGCAACAGATGGATACATCATGCTTATACAATTCACAGCAAAAAATAACCAGATATTTTGGACAGCTACATGAGCTCCTTGTAATATTTGGCCTACAGATGACAACAATAAATTTAAAGTGTTACTCCAAGCACCATGCCCAGTTTAGTGTTTTGAAGTGGTCATGGTGCCTGGAGTCTGTATGTGCAGTGTTCTTAGTATGAAATGCTGCACATATGGAGTTTAACCCCCCCTCCCCTTCCACACCCATCTCAGTTACAGAGAATTCCACTAATGACATGTAGGAGAGAGAAGCAGAAGGAGAGAGAAAACAGACACCGGATCCAATTCTACATGAATCACACTGATCTCTCTTCTCCCCCTGTCAGGATGTTGCAAGGTGAAGAGATCTTCCAACTGCATGTGTGTATATCTGTCAGCATGCCCTATGCAATTTCCATGATTCCTAGGAATAGGACAATGATTGGTTGGATCAGTGGGTGTGGAAAGCATAAGAAAGAAGACGCAAGTAAACATGAAAAAAATCATATTTACCTGTTTTTTTCAACCTGCAAAGTCCAATAATAAGAAGAATAATTTAAGGAATTTTACATGTGGACCTTCATTTTTATTTTAAATCTACATGCATAACCAATACTTAATAGAACAGTTGGCTCAAATAAATTTAAACAAATCATTTCTATCTCTCTCTACTGATTTATCCACACTCAACAGGATTATGGTAAGGACAAACACTATACAAATCCCCACTAATGGATTAAAATTCAGAAATTATCAAATCAAATCTAAAGCTTTTGAATGAGATAGTTGTCTCAAAGTGATACATGTCCCTTTAAGTAATTTCCTTAAATTATTCTTATTATTATTGGCATTTATACAGCACCAACTTATTACGCAGCACTTACAATATTATAAAGTGAGGAATTTAAC